ATTTTATATTTTATATATTTTATTTAACCTCTAAGGGTTAACCATTAAGGGTGGTTTTCACCCCTTGTGAGATGGCTCGAATATTTTCAATTCTTATTTGAATAATTAAATAGAATATTATTGGATAATTAGGTTCTCCGATATTTAATTTATTTTATTTTTATGTACCACATATTTAGTAACAATTCTATTATTATATTATTATGATATACTAAATTTTAAGATGTTAAATTTTAATTTTTAGGAAAACGTGAATCAACGTAAATTCGTTCAAAGAATGGAATTTTTAATATTAGATAACAAATTGAAGCAAGTAAATAAGAATTGTGCACATGGGTACTCGATTATTGTGTTATACACGAAAGAGTTAATTACTTTATAATTGCGACCAAATTTCGTTAAAATTAGCAATCTTGAGAGTACTCCGATAGATTAATATTGGAACTACCGACCTGTAATGCGTATTTAAATATAGTATACACGAATGACTAACATCACGACTACTGTTCTGTAATGTAAATTTAAATATAGTATACAAAGATAACGATAGTAACAAACAGGCATATGTGATTAGGTTTTTATCTTGATGAAAGACATCAATATTTTCCAAACACCAAAACGAAAAGCCTGAAACCGATTAATTTAACTCACCTAGTGGTTTTGCTATTAATCAAGAAATATTTTTAATATTTGCATTTATTTGCAACTATATAAATATTTTTAATATTTGCAATTATTTGCATTTATTTGCAACTATATAAATATTTTTAATATTTGCAATTATTTGCAATTATTTGGAACTATATAAATTTTTTCAATATTTGCAATTATTTGCAACTATATAGATATTTTTAATATTTGCAATTATTTGCAACTATATAAATATTTTTAATATTAGCAATTATCTGCAATTATTTATTATATGCAAATTAACAAAGTATACGTAAGTTAATTTAAACATTTTTTCATTCAACTACATTACAAAATTTTCATCTACAAAATTTTAAACCAAAATCTCCCCAAAAATACAAGTTTAAATATTTTTCAAAATATTTAAATACGTAACACATTTAAATATTTCTCGTTTTCTACAAATTTATTTTCCTATTAAATATTATTATCGCGAAATTAATGTTTCTTTATTTAATTCACGCAGTGAGGCATACTAGTCATACAAATAAAACAGTATTATTGGAACCACATAAAACAGAAAAATATTATTATTATTTATAACAAAATAAATATTCGATTCATGAAATAATGTTAAATTCACTGATTATTGTATTTATAATGTTATTTTAATGTTTTAATTTAATTTATTTTAATTTGTTTTAATGTTATTATAATGCTAAATTCACTGATTATTGAATTTACATTGAAATTAAGAATACGTTTTGTTTCTTTTATTTTATTGGTGAAGAGACTTTGCCAACATTTCCACTTGCATCCCAGAGTATCGACGCGATCTGGGTCGGAGGAAGCTAGCGAAAACGTTTCTTCCCAACTTGCCAAAGTTTCCTAATTTACCAGCAATTCCGCGGTTCACCGGCTTTTTAATTTACCCTCCCTTGCCAGTCGTCATCTCGTGACAATCTGGGGATGATAACCGTGCCCGATATCGAAGATGAATCTGCATTTTGCCGGGTGACTGAGTTCCGAAGCGAACGTGAAATCGAATTTGTCAGGTATGATGTTTCAAAAATTTTCAGTGGAATATCGTGTCGTAGAAATTTTCGATTACAGCGAGAATGAAAGTGAGAGATACCGTTTTATAAGTTACCTGTATGTTTGTGATTATTATACATTGGGAAAGTGGAAAATTAAAATTCATTATTAAAATTGTGAAAATTGAAAGTGAAACTAAAATATATTACACTTATTTATTGGAGAAATGGGAAATATTTAAATGAAAATTAAAATTTGCTATGTTTTTCTCTAAAATTATAAAATATCGAAATCTAAGATGAAATTAAAATTTTGGCCAATAATGAAATTTACATTCAAACATAATTATATTTATAATAAAAACTGCAGTAAAAAGATTTAATTAATTATATTAAAAGCTCTAATAATTATATGAAATATTGATATAATATATTATAAGTATTTTATAATTTAAATATATTATGCCACACGAAAGTATATAAAATTTATCAGAGAATCAGGTGTTCTTATTTTAGAATTTTAGAATTTAAAAATATTATACCAAAATATATGAAATTTATGAGAGAACCAAATATTTCTATTTTAGAATTTTAGAATTTAAAAATATTATACAAAAGTATATGAAATTTATCAGAGAACTATGTATTTTTATTTTAGAATTTTAGAATTTAAAAATATAGAAAAATATAGGAAATTTATCAGAGAACTAATTATTTTTATTTTAGAATTTTAGAATTTAAATATTTTACACGAAAGTATATAAAATTTATCAGAGAACCAAGTATTTATATTTTAGAATTTTAGAATTTAAAAATATTATACTAAAATATATGAAATTTATTAGAGAACCAAGTATTTTTATTTTAGAATTTTAGAATTTAAAAATATTATACTAAAATATATGAAATTTATTAGAGAACCAAGTATTTTTATTTTAGAATTTTAGAATTTAAAAATATTATACTAAAATATATGAAATTTATTAGAGAACCAAGTATTTTTATTTTAGAATTTTAGAATTTAAAAATATTATACTAAAATATACGAAATTTATTAAAAAACCAAGTATTTTTATTTTAGAATTTTAGAATTTAAATATATTACACAAAAGTAAATGAAGTTTATGAGAGAACCAAGTATTTTTATTTAAGAATTTTATAACATAAAAATATTA